TCGATATGTCTGATGCGTCGGGCCATCCTGACATTTTGATGCACAAAGTTAAATCGACGGCTATTTCAAAGTTCGAGTACTCCTTGCCATGCCATGTAACCTTGATCGTTATCGGGATTTTTCTGAGCTGAATATTGACATATTCATCTAACTCATCCCTGGAAGACTGCTTTCGCTTATCTATGGCTTCCTCGATGAGTTGTTTGAATCTTTTCAAGAGAACATCGGGTTTGCGATTTTCTCGCTTGGAAAGGTAGCTTTTCCACCGATTGCGATAAACTGCGTTGGACACCTGAACATCAACGTAGCCGGGATCGGGGACCGGTCTCATGGGAATATCCTTCGTAACACAAACACCAGGAGAGGAAAGCTGCTCTAAACAAATCATAAAATCGAATTCATCGGGTCCTTCGACTTTAAGATCTTCATAAAAACTTCCGCTGGGGATTACAAAGTTTTTAAAAAGTGGATCCTTTCGGCCTATATAGACAGAGATTTCGTCAACTAAACTTCTAATTCTTTTCTCGATTTTCTTTACCTCCTTGTCCTCTCTATCAAACTCCGCTTTTTTGTAAAGGCGTTGTAATTCATCGTCCCCGAAGTTGCGCCTCATTTTGAGTCACGTACAAACTTAAGGTAACGATCGCTTCCGGGTATATATTGTTGAGCCGACAGTCAATTTTACAAGCAGCCGTTGCAAATAGCCAGAAGCTACTTGAAGTAACAGTCATTTGGCCGTGACACAAGCACCCAGCCGCCGTCGTTGGGTCAAGAGGAGTTTCGTGTAAATAAATGAATTACTTATTTAAAGTTTCGCCTTGAAAAATTTCTATACTTGTCGCTTAGAACGATTAATTAACCCAATGGGATCTTTATGAATCTACTGTAAACGATTTCTTCGCTTCTCAGTCTCTTGGTTTGCGGTATATAGAATGAGTGACGAAACTGTGACGCGATTACAATAACCCATTTTTTCAGAGGTTTTCGACGGGTTTTGATGTTCTAACAAGGTAACGAGGTTAGAGAGCTTTAGATTCTCAGACGAGGATGACTGCAAGAACGGGTCGGCATTATATTCTACCCACCAAAACCACATCGATCGAGAGGGACTGAGATTGAATTTTGGACACCTTGTGACATGTTATACCAATGAAAGATGCCTACGATGTTTCTTGGGGATTCGTCTTTCTTTTGCTTTGAGCTTAATTATATTTGGGAGATCGCGTTCTCGCCAGTAGGTAGGCCAATAATATCAGGCTGTGTCGGACCAACAGAAAGAATCTCAGCATTTCTTGATAGGCTGTTGCAACCTATAGCACAAAGACAGGCTTCTTATCTTAAAGACTCTACAGACTTCATTAATTTCACAGAAAGCACAGAAGTCCCAAAGCACGCGATCATTGTTTCAATGGACGTGACAAGTCTATATACCAACATTCCACAGGAAGAGGGGATCAAAACTATACGCAAAGCATATGTTACTCACTACAAAGATAAACCCCCGATTCCAACACAGTCACTTGAACGAGCGCTCAGACTCATTTTAAAAGAAAATTCATTCCATTTTTATGGAAAAAATTACCTCCAAACACACGGGACAGCGATGGGAACAAGGGTCGCTGTTGCTTTCGCAAATATCTTCATGGCGAAAGTAGAAACAGAGTTATTAAAAAAGAGCGCAATAAAGCCTATCTGTTGGAAAAGATATATAGACGACATCTTCTCTCTCTGGGGTACCGGAAGAGAACAAATAACACACTTCATTGAACAAGCCGATCACCACGCCACTATTAAATTCACAGCAGAAATCTCTGAGGAAAAAGTCACATTTCTGGATACAATTGTGTACAAAGGCAAACGGTTTAACAGTACGTCAATTCTTGACATACGAACGCATTTTAAACCTACTGAAACTTTCCACTATACACATTTCACGTCTTGCCACCCATTAGGGGTCAAGAAGGGCTTTATAAAAGGCGAAGCCCTCCGGTTACTCAGAACAAATTCCTCAAAAGAAAACTTTCAAAACCGACGAGAAGAATTCCACAAGCACCTTAGAGAGAGAGGTTATCCACGAAACTTAATAACTCTAACTCTCTCTGAAATACACTTTGAGAACAGGAAAGAAGCACTCCGACAAAAACCATCAAGAGAAAAAACCATTTTGTCCTTTGTCACGCAGTATCAACCATCAGTTCCCAGCCTTAAAAACATTCTTATGAAACACTGGCAACTGATAGAGAAACAACCTCTTCTTAGACAGATCTACAAAGAACCTCCAAATATATCATACAAACGAGGAAGGTCTCTGAAAGATATACTTGTAAAAGCTAAACTCTGAGATTTAAAGGCTAAAACACGTGGGTGGAAAGCGTGAGTCAGGCTTGTCAACCCCTATGATATTTAAAAATGGGTGTCTCCCCGGCGAAAATAAACGTTGAATCACAGCTAAAAATCAGCTACAATATTTTGGCGTCACCTTATCTAATACGGACAATTTTAATGTGCTTTCAGTCTCCCTGTGAAAGGAATCCTTGTTTGAACGGCGGACAAGGTCTACCCAACCAGGAGTCTGTGGAACTCACCTTGAGAAGGAAGGTGAATAATCATGTAGATTACAAATTCCGGAAAAGCGATTGAATTGCTCTTGGAAATGGCTTGTAAAAATAAAGATAATTTTTGCACTGCAACGTCTGCAGCTCTGATACAATATTTAGGTGTATAAAGCACTCAGTGTATTCGGCAGCGCATGGGATCCAAAAGCCGAAAGCGTATTCCTTATACGATCAGTCGAAAGCGCCCCAAATTCCGTAATCATTTCTTTTTATTATCCAATAACTGCATCAAAAAAGAAAAGAGGTTTCTTGGAAAAAGAATCCAACTGCTTCACATAAGTCTTTTTAAAATCAGGTTTTTCTCAACTTATAAGGACGATTGATAACCATCGACTCTATTAGTCTTATTATTTGACTGTTACTTCTTCCTTGATAATATACTTTAATTCAGTGGGCCTCATTAGCATTCCTATCATTCTGACCTTACTGACCAATAATTACATAGAAACATCGCATTGTTTTATTCAGTCACAATTTGTGAACAAAAAACAAAGGGTTTTGCACGGTCAGGGAGCTTCCAACATAAATTGCATCACCGTTGTTTTAATCTTCGATGTTTCCGGCTTTTATAACCAGTCTCCTTTACTATGCCTTTGGAGAAAAACTTTTCTCGTTGAATATCTGTGAGGCAGCTCCAAAAGAGAGGGCGCTGTAAGCTTCAAGCGCCTATAAAAGGCAGGAATTTTGGCGCGAAACTCGCACACCACTGTGGCCTCTGATTGGACATATCTTCTTCTCATACGTGAAAAATCATCGTACGCGATTCTGATTGGACCTATCATTTTTTCACGTATGAAAAATAACGTTTGCTTCTCTGATTGGCTAGAACTCGTTTGCGTTTGAAACTTTGCGACATAGCTTCTCGGTGAGAATATCTCAGTATGTATGTCAATAATATTATTTACAAGATAGCCAAACGAAGCATAAAACCCATTTCTAAAATTTCTTTCAATATTTCTTAATCAATATCCAGTTAGTAGTATCGTGGGATATTTTTACGAGTCATGCTGTATATTGGTGACCCCGAAGAAATATTTATATCGAGTATTGCTAAAGCATCTTTATTGTTATTTAATTAAGACAATTGTGAAAAATAGGCATCATAAAAACAATCAAGCAAAATAGAACCGTTAATAAAGTTTAACTTTTTCAGTGTAAATTAGATTGTATTGAATGTTGGTAAAAATTAAATTCAGAAGAATTGAATCATAACAAAAAACTATTCACCTGATACCTAATTTAAATCAGGACTTTCATCTTTTGTTCAATAATATGTCTATTGAAGAGTAGCTTGGAATTTCTATTAAATAACGAAACAGTGGTTTTCATGTTCAGTTTCGTGAAGATTGTAATTGTAAACGTACATTTTGTGGTCTAACGAGGGATGTTGTCGTATCTACCTGTATCAAGGGCCTGGGTCGAGTTGTGTCGAATTGTACGATGGGACTGTTTTGGGAGACCATTTTTGACCCAATAACCAATGAAAAAAGCAATCGCATCCTCCAAAATAATCTCATAGTGCAATTCAAAATAACAGTTGCCCCCCCCCCCCTCCCACCACCATAACACCTACCAAGAGCGATATGTTACTACAACAATTCTGACGCAGTTATCAGCTACTAAGATTAGTGCTGAGTGGTGATACCGGAGTTTCTTTAAATCCTGGTCTCGCTGAATACACCTACAACGACGATGGTGAACAACCTACTCAAAGCTCGCAGTCTTCCATCCATGCTTGTAATGGTAATTCCTTCCTTGAGCTTCCATATAAATGCTTGAACATTTGCCATTACAATATTTGTTCATTGACAAACAAGCTCGGCGAAATAAAGCTACTTTTATCCTCCTTTTCTAACCAACGTAAAGACAGACCTAACTTGATCCTCGGAATTGCCGAAACGTTTCTAAACGACTCTTGGTCTGATGCTTCTCTTGCCGTGGAAAAATATACCTTGTTCCGCGCCGATAGATTGGCCAACAGAGGAGGTGGTCTACTTGTGTATGTTCCCGCACATTTGCCTATATCAAGAAGAAGTGACCTCGAATTGCCTGGAATCGAAACAATTTGGCTTGAGCTTCGCTATCCAAGATCAAGACCGTGTTTATTTTCGTTTGTCTACCGACCTCCTTCTGCTGATGCTTCGTTCTTTGAGCGGATGGACTTGATATTGACAAAGGTAGATTGTAAAAATTATCGGACTTGTCCATTAGGTGACTTTAATATCGACCTTTTTTCAAACTCTACGTTACAAAAACGCTTTATTGCCCTAACTAAGGCCTATAGTTTTCATCAACTTATTACTGTTGCTACAAGACCGGTATCTGGAACACTTTTGGACCATGTTTTGGTTAACTATCGAGATAATGTTCTGAAATCAGGCACTCTATCGTTGACCCTAAGTGATCATCTTCCTATCTACGTGTCACTAAAATCTAGAGCCATTAAGCTACAATCTGAAGGACACAAACCTATGCTTTTTCGCTCAAAAAAGAATTTTTCTGTTGATACCTTTCTGGCCAGTAGTGGATAAGGCACCGGTTACTCCTTTTCTTTGTGGATTTAATTAACTTTTTGAGTGGTATAAATTAACGCAGATGACGTCATGCATCTCATTAAGATAGGATGATGTCATACTTTAAATTAATGCCCATGACGTCACGCATCTCAATAAGATAGGATGATGTCATAGGTTATTTTTAGCTGGCTGACGTCATATACTTCTTTGAGATAGGATGATGTCATCGTTTATTTGTAGCTGGCAAGGAGCAAGTGACGTCAGAATTTCCTAGAGTTGACGTCATCAAAAAATGTTGAGATCACAATCTTTAAACAGAAAAGTGATTTTTATATAATTAGCTATTTGCTACAGTCTTCTGATTAGATATTGTTTGCTATAGTCTTCTGATTGGATATTGTAGAAACTGTCATGTGTTCAAAATAAAAGCGGGCAAATTTTGAACATGTTGTCTTTGCAGGTTATACTAAATGAAAAATCTTTAATCATTAAATTATTTTCACTAAAAATCGGTTATAAACAAAACCAAGACACGGAGGTTAACTGAAAAATCTTTACTTCAAAAGAAGGGAAAAGGAGGTTAAGCGAATGCGAAATCGTACTAATTTTTCAGGCAAAACATGAAAACGAGGTCGAAGCTCAGCGAAGCGAAAAACTGCCTATCAAGCAAAAATGTCAATCTTTGTTCACTTGACTCCGTAGAAAGTATTGCACAGGGTATGAAAATTCTATAGAAAACAACAGGTGGTTCTAAAGTCAAACCCTAGCTCTTTTGGTTCTTAAATCAACTCCATTCTTGTTCCTAATGAGTGGAACGTCTATTTAAAAAAAAGATAGGAATAAGAGGTGCGATCACCTAGCAACACATGTCTTCTTATTTAGCGCTAAATATCGGATATATAACAAAACACACACACACATACAAAAAGTGGAGCTGAAAACTCTCTATTTCAATTTTGACTCACCATTACGAAAGCGTTTTCTCCGTTCCATCTCGAGGAAACGATTAACTATTGAAATCTCAGCGCTTGATGAGCTTATGGTCTTGTCAATTCACGCGCCGTTAGCGTTAGTCAGTTAATTGTGCCGGTTAACAAGCCCAAAGTCGAATACAAATTAGTTCATCTCTACAGCTAGACCCAAGGGAGCACTTTGACTTATTATTGTAAAAACACAACAAGGATCAATTTAAACACGCGACAAATAAATTGACAAGACACGAGATACAGTTTTAAAAACTTTATTGAAAACCAGTGACAAAAAGAGTCAAATAAACAGCGATTTGGAAGGGATGGAAATTAATCATCTTCTTCGCCCATGGAGTACTTGTAAGGTCTAACTCGAAATTTCTTATGCCGACGTTTCTTCAGCTGTTTGCCATGGGATTTATGATCATCCAAATAATTTAGAAATTGAATCCGACGCCTCTTGCGCTTCGGGCCTTGTGGTGATGGGGTTTCTACTGTGGGAGGAGGGGTCAGGAAAGCAGGATTTAAGGGTGGTGGAGGGGTGAGGCTTTCTTTGTCAGGTTTTTGAGAGATAGCCGCTTGTGTTAATTCAGGTGTTACATTAACGGGGTTGAGGGGAGTCGAGAATGCTGTCGTTGCTGTCGAAGAATCTTGTGTCCTTGATGTTAAGTCTGGAACAGTGCTGATTATTTCTTCCGGTCGTGTTCTTGTATTTAATTGTTCTTTAAAAGCCAGGTATCTGTTTTGCAACTGAACGTATCGTTTAGCTTTTTCATCGTCCCGAAGATCGTTTCGAGAAAGCACGTCATCCATGTTGCCCTGTATTTCTTGCATAGCTGGAAGAAGTGGGACAGGCGAAAGAGTTTGCTGCTTCAGATATTTTAGAAGCTCTTGAGGAATATTTTCCTGAAACCCTGCTTGGTTAAAGCCTTCTTCACTGGGTAGGACGTTTGTTCGCAACCGACAATTATCTTGGGTAGTAGTTTTCAGATCAATCAGAAGATAACCAAAAGGTCTTTTTACAGCCTCTTCGTACTGATTTAAAAAGAAATCAGTCTGCCTGGGATACATTTGCTTCGCCAGAGTCAGGATTTGCAATTTGTCTCGTGGATTCTTGAATAACACCAGATAATGGCTGTTAAGGCTTATGCTGCGGCTACCTTTCCCCTGATGAAATAGATTCTGCACGATATAAATCACGCTCAGATTGCGATGATGAGAACCACGAGTAAAGAGGTTCACAATTCGCTTGTCTTTACTGGCGTCAATCATCTGATCATCAAACACGATCAAATTCCGTTTGTTCACGTCAAAATAGGAATCCTGCTCCAAAGCCCTAGGAATCCCCTTGACGAATTCAATGTTTGGCATGGCGATTAACATTTGCGTATACGCAGGCTG